CCCCGGCTGCTCCGTCCTCCCTCCCGCGCTGCAGGGAACCGAAGAAGCGCGGCGTGCAAGCAGTCCCCCTTGCGACAGTGCTCTCGCAAGGGCGGTAACGCGACTGATCTTGCCCAGGTTAGGCAAGGCAGATGGCATTTCAGTCCTAAAGCATGCCAGCACCCTGTTGGCGACAAAAAGGGCAAGGCCGCGTCATGGTTTTACCGAGGCCCCACAGAAGAACCACACCGGGCTAGGATCGTGTCCACATGGAGAAGTGACACTTGTTAAGATCTTGAGTGGCTATTAGGCTTCAGCCCGTTTCATTGGCTCAAGAAATCTTGGAATGAACGTGAAATTATATAGAGTGCTGGATTAGATTATTTCACTCCTTTTCCGACCTAGAGGTTCCTTGAGCAGCTAATGAAAGGATTAAATTGAACGAGCATAAATAAATTTATGAACACGGTTTTTTAAATGACCTGTAGGGCTGAGAATACAGCTCAGGGGTGAAGTGTGTACTTTGCAAGCGCAAGGCCTGAGGTTCGAGGCCCAACACCATCACAGAGAAATCAAGAAAGAAAGCAATTTTTAAGTGTGATGATGTTGAATCCCCTTCAGCCCCCATACTGAGAATGGAAGCCAGGTCTTGGTGCATACAAAACACTACCACTGAGCTTTACCCCCAACCCCTAATCCTTTTGACAACAGGTTGAAGTAATTAGTCTCAATTTACAAATTAGAAAATTTAGCTTGTGAGAGATTGACACTTTATTTTTATAGCCAAGCACCCAGGGTTCAAATAATTATGAAATGAATGAATGAGGTCTATATATAATAATCTTTGTCTAAGGTCACTTGGAAAGTCATGTCAGCAATCATGGTTTTTAATTTACTTCTGTTGTGCTTTTTCTGATACGCATGTGCTGATTAACCAATGAACCTCTGGAAAGGAGGAAACAGACCTTACCCCATTCCTTCACCCTCTCTAAGGAAATAAAGCTATATGGTATTTAGAAGAGACACTACTTGTTGGTGAGGCTTAATTTTTATGACCTCATAATCTTTGTGTGTATTCAGTTCAAATAAACGAATGTTCACGAATGTTGGTATGACTTGGATAAAGTACGAAGAGACTTAAAGCTGTTTTGTAGTATAGTTTGTCCCTGGCACAGAACAGGGAATCCATACGCCATTGATACATAAATTTATAAAGAATCACCTATATCCTTCCCTTCCTTCTCTGCTGGTTCTGTTGTTTCCTGATCTAGATATAGTGGAAGCCACAAGAGGGTGTCATGCGACCATCTTTAGTTATTTTTGCTCGCTGGGTAGTCTTGTGTCAGTCTGCATTCTAGGATGAAGTTTTATTCCAAAACGTTTTGTAGTTAAACACACATCTTCCCCTCTCCTACCCAGTGCATTATTTTGAAAAATTCTCACACTGCCACTTAGAAGAGAATTACAATGTTTAGATGTCTTGTAACATAATCACAAATCAAAGGCAATTTAAAGTTCTTTGAGTAGCTTGACTATGTATATTTACAGTTTCATTGTAAGTTCTTCCTTTTCCTCTCCTCCCCCACCTCCCCGTCCAAAGGAGGGTGGCAACTTGAGTGAAACTTTGAAATCTCAAAATACCAACTTATAGTTTACTAAATTCTATTATAGTTTTGATTTAAGAATATTTAATCCTCATCTTTCTAAATTTTTGCCACATTATAGAACAGCTTAATATTTTCCTGATTAGAAAACGGATACATGGGAGGAAAAAAAAGGAAAGAAAGAAAAGAAAAGGGATGCATGTTTTTAAAATAACGGAGATAGTAAAAAAGTATACTCTTATACTTTTATACATAACTCTGAGCTAATCAATGGTAATGTTTTGCTCTGTATCTTCCCATTATTTTTATCCCTCCACACGTTTTCTCAAAATTAGAATATTATTGTTTATGTTGTTTTGTAACAACATTTTCAAAAATGTAGTGTGAGTGTTCCTTATGCTATTAAAATGTTAGTAGCACTTTGCACTACTACAAGGGATCATACAATTAAGTAGTGGACACTTAAGTTGCTTCCATCTTCAAGAAATGCTTTGCTGATTTAGGAAGTAAAATGTAGTGTTCTATTTTAATATGTATTTTTGTTTAAAATTAAGTTCTTTTTTCAGGTGTTTATTGGCTATTTGTCTTTCATGAGTTTTCAGTGAATAGCCTTTTCCTATTTTTTTTAAACATGTTGTTTATATTTTTTAAAATTAATAATCTTGGCCTTTTACCATTGATAGGTGATATGTATATTTCTTTTTAGTTTGTTTTTACTTTTAAGTATTGTTAGTTCTCCAATTATTATGAAATCAAGCCTACTAATATTTTTCTTTATAGGTCCTTATTGGCTTCATGCTGAGACAATAAATTCTTACCTGAAAGTTCTGGTCATATTCTCTACTTTAGCTCTTTATTTGTAATTTATTTGGGGGTATGAAATAAAATTATTTTTGTCTCTCTCTCTCTATCATAATTCTTTTATTCTTATTTCTGGCTATCTTATATAACAGCCCAAAATTAAATTTGTGAGAAATAAAATAACTTCATCTGATGTTCAAGTAATCTAAGGCATTGTTTTTTCACACTTTAAAATGCGTTAGAATTGAATCTGGCACTCTGGCCTATACCTGTAATCCCAGTGGCCTGGGAGGCTGAGGCAGGAGGATCACAAGTTCAAGGCCAGCCTCAGCAATGTAGTGATGCCCTAAGTAACTTAGTGAAATCCTGTTTCCAAATAAAAAATAAAAAGTGTTGGGGATATGGATTAGTGCGTAAGTGCCCCTGGATTCAATCCCTGAAATGAGACTCTGTTTAAATATAAATTTTTTGTGTTTTATCCTGAGTTTTTCTATGGGTAAGTCTGGACTAGGGCCTGAGCAACTGCAACCTGGCAATAAACTCTTCCCAAGAAATGTTGGTACTGCTGGCCAGGAATCATACTTTGAGAACCACCATCCTAAACTTTCTTCACCCAGTTCCATACCAGTCAAATAGTACTTCTCACTGTTCCACAGGTAAATTGCCTCTCTCTCACCTATGTGATTTAGCATGTCCTTTTTTAAAAATCTGCAATCTCTTTCCTTTGTTTCTATTTTTAAGATCAAGATCAGGATTTATCTCTTCTTTGAAATCTTGGATTCTCCCTTGCTGAGATCTCTGATCATTCTTCAGAAATTCCACAGCGATTGGCACATTAGTTTGTTTATCACCACTTATCATACATTTGCAATGAATATAGTGAAGCTTAAGCTTCAAGTCTGTTCAGTGGCGTGAACCTCTTCCAAGACAAAGTACTTTGTGTTTATAATTTTATGTTCTTAAATGCTTCTTGTACTTTGCACAAGCTTTTGGTTCCATTCCTGTTTACATTGTTTTTCCACAGGCAGTGAGTTCTAATTTTATCTTCCAATCTGTTCTAGCTCCTGGCTTAGTACTGTAAGGTCCTTGCTAGCATCTGGATGGCCATTTTAAGTGACAGCCACCATTTTAAGAAAAAGTTTTGCTTTCCTGCCCAAGAGCCTTTCTGCCCAAGAGCCTTTCTGAGAAAGGCTCACCACTCCCTTATATCAACCCCAATCTTAACCACCCACATTAGGGCCTGCCCAGCTCTAATCCCTGAGCCTGCCCCATAAAAGTTGCAGAGCCTAAGCCTGTGTTGCCTCTTTCCATCTGTAGAGAGATGTGCCTTTATTTGTCAGCTCTGACAAATAAACTCTCTGCCTAGTCTCCGTCTTTCATTTCTTACTCACCTGTCTCCCGGTTCCTCAATTTCCTTTCAGGTGCAGTGTCTTTTAATAAACTTCTTTTTCTCTCCATCTCTTTCTATGTGTGAGTGTGTGAGTGTGTGTGTGTGTGTGTGTGTGTGTGTTCATGTGGACACTATTGAGAATTGAACTCAGGGGTGCTTTACCTCTGAGCCACATCCTCAGACATTTTTATTTTTTATTTTGAGACAGGGTTTCACTAAAATTAGTGCTAGCCTAGAACTTGTGATCCTCCTGCCTCTGCCTCCCAAGTAGCTGAATTATAGGAGTGTGTCACCATGCTCGACCAATGTTTTTCATAGAATATTCATTGCATATATATCCTGTGTCTGGCACTGTGATAGATTCTGGGGATGTGGCGCAAACAAGACAATCATGGACCTACTCATCCTTAGAGTTGATGGGGAAGATAGGCAGTTAAACAACATTGAAATGCACTGAGTAAACTTATAGGGCAACAGAGTGTTAAAAGAGCACATGACAGATGGCCTAGATTAGTCTAAGGAGGATGTGATGGGTAAAGGGTCTAGCTATTCAGCTTACTGAATGAATTGATCAACAGCATGTAGACCACTGCGCACTACTACAGACCTCACTGGGTGATTGATATGCTCCTCTCTCAGGCAGCTGCATGCTGTAGTCCCAAGTCACTGATTTCACATACTCAGCCGACATACCTAGCATTCATAATTTCAAGCCACCTACACAGAAAAGGCCTTCCAGGCAGTGAAGTACCTTTTT